CATCCTTTAGTACTTTATTGGACTAATGTAACTGTCCTTTTAACACACTTTTTTTTCCTCTTCTCTTTCCTCTTTTCTCTTTTCTTTTCTCTTTTCTCTTTTCTTTCCTCTTTTCTCTTTTCTTTCCTCTTTTCTCTTTTCTTTCCTCTTTTCTCTTTTCTTTCCTCTTTTCTCTTTTCTCTTTTCTTTTCTCTTTTCTTTCCTCTTTTCTCTTTTCTTTCCTCTTTTCTCTTTTCTTTCCTCTTTTCTCTTTTCTTTTCTCTTTCCTTTTCTTTTCTCTTTCCTTTTCTTTCCTCTTTTCTCTTTCCTTTTCTTTCCTCTTTTCTCTTTCCTTTTCCTTTTCTTTCTTTTCTTTTCTCTTTCCTTTTCTTTTCTCTTTTCTTTCCTTTTCTTTCCTCTTTTCTCTTTCCTTTTCTTTCCTCTTTTCTCTTTCCTTTTCTTTCCTCTTTTCTCTTTCCTTTTCTTTCCTCTTTTCTCTTTCCTTTTCTTTCCTCTTTTCTCTTTCCTTTTCTTTCCTCTTTTCTCTTTCCTTTTCTTTCCTCTTTTCTCTTTCCTTTTCTTTCCTCTTTTCTCTTTCCTTTTCCTTTTTTTTTTCCCCTCTTTTTTTTTTCCCTCTTTTTTTTTCCCCTCTTTCCTCTTTTTTTTTCCCCCTCTTTTCCTCTTACCTTTTTTTTTTCATTTTTTTCCTTTATTCGTTTTTTCCTTTATTCGTTTTTTCCTTTCAGCTATAGAGGTTAAGCTTTTTCTTTATTAGCAGCCAACCTGGAGAAACATGCCCACAATAACACATAGTCTCAAAATGATGTTTTTTTTTTTTTTTTCACATGACTCTGCTTTTTTAACTACTTTTACTCTTTTGCAATGCTTACTGCTTTAAAAAGTGATAATTAAAATTGTAATAAAATCTAAACATATGAGGAAAGTGAATTTATTCATTTTTTTGCTCTTGAGAATTTACAAGATAGCTTAAAAAAAAAAAACTGTGTCATGGAAAAAAAACTGTTTTTTTGACACTTATTACAAGCACGTTTGTTCATATTTGCCATAGCTCTTCATTACCCCCCTTTTTTAATTAATTTATCCCCCCCACCACCACTTCAATCGCTATTTTTTTTGTCTTTTCAGTGCCTTTATGTCAGTGGTAGACAAACTGCAGGCTGCATCTGGCTCAAGGTGGGTTTCAGTGCAGCCTGCAAAAACATTTCAAAGAAAAAATTTTTCTATGCCTTTTTTATACTTTTTTTTTTTTTTTTTTTTTTTTTTTTTTTTTTCACAATTTTAGTTAAAATGTAGTAAAGTTAAATTACAAAAGCTATAGCAATTTATACATTTCATTGTATCTTCATGAGAAATTACCAAGTTTGTAAAGATGACTAGGTTATTTGCTAACACAAATTGGGTCAGTGTATTCAGTCTATTATAAGACAAAAGTCCTGGTTTTCCTTGCTTCCATCTTAAGTTATTAATGACTATCAAATGTCTAGTCTTTTGGTATACTCCATTATTCAAGTATTTTTTCATACTTGCATCCTGTTAGGAACACCTGTCAAACACCTGTGGCTTTCCTCTGTTTTATGTGCTTTTTTTCTTTTTCTTATTTATTGCCATTTTAAGAGGTTCATTTTTATTTTTTTTTGAGCTCGAAGTAATAAAGCTATCAGTAATTTAATAACCTGATAATGTAAAAAATATTTGACACAAATATTTGTCAATTCACTTAACTGCACAAATCAAACATTATACAATGAAAATTTCAGACCAAAATTCAGCTCATAGCTGTGTCAGGCTGCAGACTTATTGTTCCACACTTGCTATAAATCTTATGTAACAAGAGTCTTAGTAAGTATTTATAAGTGAAAGTATTAGGAACCTTTACACTTTCATTTATCTTGTTTTGTCTTACATGACTGGCATGTATTTGCTTACTCAGAAACTGTCACATTGGATCCCCTTATACACACGCACACACACAAAATAAAAAAATTAAACTGACCCATCAAGGTACCCCCTCTTTTTGATCCAGGGGCAGCAAAAACTCATCAAGATAGCCCTCTACCCTTGGTCAAGAGGTCATCAAAGACCTTTTGAGTCAGTCCACCCAAATCTGTTCAGAAAAAGCCCACTTCCCCTCAGTCCAGAAGCCTTGTACTATACCAATCAATCAATATTAACTTAGGCTTACAGCCACATATTGTTGAAAGACTAGTTCCCGTATAATCACCAAAGTTAATCAACCCACCTAGGTACTGACCAGGCTCAACATTGCTTAAATTTGGTGATCACATGAGGAACCAATGTCTCAACATGATATGGGCATAAGCAAGATTGGAAGGTGGAAAGCCACGTTTGTGTGTATATCCTGAAGGGGTGTGACATATAGTAGAACAACTGTATATTGTATAAATAATAAAATAAAGGTCAGTTGGACAATTTTATTCCAACCATATATATATATATATATATATATATATATATATATATATATATATATATATATTTC